TAGATGACGTGACAAAAAATGGTTGACTCATTCGTACTTGAGCAACGAACGGCTTTAAAGTTTAACGTTTATCTTAAAAATTCCTTTTCAGTGGCATACAATAATTGTACACGATTTTTGAAGACAAAAGGACATGGCAGAAGTTTAATCATTAATTGGATTGATTGTTTTAGTGAAGGAAGGGAGGTGGTTAAAATGATGTTTGTTCTGGTGCAAAGTGAAAGGAAGCTTGGGAAGAGATGTGTCCTTAGTTGAGCAATCTGTAATATAATTATTGAATCCCTAAAATATCGTTTACTTTAGATTTTAAACATATCATGTATGATAAAAAGAAGGCGCCCATACTTTGTCCACAATGGATAAACGACGCACCCCAATACAAAAGAGTCGGGTTATGATGGTCACTATGCTCATTCTGGGAAAAGATATCCTAATACACCAATCCTATTTGCGACAAATGGGCTATTCTTGTTATAAAAAATAACTTGCATGGTAAGAAATATAAGACTCGGAAAAATCTTAATTTCTGTGAACAGAACGCTACGGAGGATGTCACGTGAACGCCTGGATCACGTATGCATATGGGCAGAACGATGGCAGATGTGTATTCAAATCGGAGAGGACCACTTTAAAAAATATTAAACATCGAAATCAGATTTTATTTCTTTTATGGAAGTAATTTAATTAGTTTGCGAACTTTTTGATTACCCCTCGTATTTCTTGTTCATTAACATACATGTATCATCGGAAAATTTTACATTACTGATATCAATTTAAGAGAGTTTAAGCTTTGAAATCTCAAAAAAGTTCCAAAGTTTCATAGTTAATCAAAGTATCAAAGTATTTACTATACTTAATAATAGTAAACTATAGTAAACTATAGTTTACTATAGTAAATTTTTGTTAGGAGTGCCCTTCGATTGTGATAGAAATACTGGCAATATACTCCCCTTCCTTGATTATTATATAGATACATGTATAATCTACATAATCATGCACATATGCATTATTTAACTCCTTATAAGTAGGATTTTTGATATAAGAAAAAAGGATTTTTGTTTACTTTTATCCTAAAAACTCTTATATTTTTGAAACCTCGTATCACACAGCAAGATCGCTTAATTTGTGTATAGAAAGACATGGCCAGATTTTTTTTCCTATATGCTACTATTTAAAGAGTGGGTTACATCCTCGTTACCCACTCCCTCAAAACTTACCACTATAAATACGCTGACACGAATCACATACTTGATTCGAACACAATATGTGCTACATTTGTTTCTGGCACAGTTCTATGTAGTCTTGAAAACACAACTCCAATTGTGCTAATATTGCCAATCATACTTAGGGAAAAAAATAATATGTAAATTAGGTAGAGAAGCTCTTTCATAATGCAACATTCGTTTTTTTTTCTATTGGTAAAGATTATTACATGTAACTAGAAAGGGGAAATACGTACTACTGTGTATAAACTTGTGTCAATTCTTAGTATACCAAACACCTCTTTTATTAATTAATCAATTTTTTTATGTCCATTTTTTTTCACGCAGATTTATTTGGGTAGGGTTCGAAAACATCAATCTTTCTTGTAACTTCTGAAAAAAAAAATTATTTTCATTCCTTTTTTTTTTACATCATTTACTCAGAGTAAAATTTAAAAAGGATCATTACAATTATACACAGAAACAATGCATTTTTATTCATATACAAGTTTTTCTCTCTCTGACAACAGCTAAGTAAATAATCTTGTTTTTTTTGATGACGACTCTAGAAACTTTTTTTTTTTAATTTGATAAAACAAATCTAAGTACGCGTGTATTTTTGCTCTTATAGTCATCGAACAGCAAAATAGTCTATAGTTATTTGTTTTCCTTTAATGGGATAAAACATCTTGTATTATTGATGTACATGTAAGGTATAGTGTAACATTTTGTTACTTAAACTTTAAAGTTTTTAGGCTGCATGATTTTACCTCTACGTATTTGCCTAACAAGAATATTCCTACCAAAACCAGTTTTGTGTATAAAAAAAAAAGACACGGGGTCATTATTCTACGTGGTCATTTTTCTACAACCCACACGGAGAAAAATGACCCCCGGTCAATATTCTACGGGGGTCACTTTACACCTGTAACACCCCCCCCCCTTTCCTCAATAGTGAGGTGTTTTTTTTCTTTACCGATTTCGAATGAAGTGATAAAATTCGCGTGTTATACTTTAAAACTTAATAATTAACTTGAACATCCTAACATTACTTGAGTTAATATATCATCAATCGCAGTGTTGTCGCTGCATATTTAATTCTTATGCACGAAGAATGTTTATATCAATATACCGTTCATTCTGACATCGTGGGCAGAATATGAATTTCACAATACTAGAGTAGATACATGTAAGTTGCTGTTCTTCCTAATACGTTTCCGCGAAATGCTGAATAAAATTACAGTGTGCATCTATGTCACCTTTTAGATCCAAATATAAAGATACTTATATGTAAACCCGATTACGTTCAATATATGACGTTTTAGTCATAAATAACGCCTTAAACGCAACTCTTTCGATAAAATTGTTTTTAAAACATTATTTTCCTATATATTTCTATAGTAAAGCGTAAAAATAGTACCGAAAACTATACCGCGTTTACAGTTATATAGCATTAAATTAAAACCACGTAGGCAAGTTTAATAAAAAATTCAGATAATATGCCGCAAATTATAAGGAACATTATATCAAATTTTCAGGATATGTTTTCTCGTAAGATTTTTTAATTGTAAACCCGCGACCACTTAAATCTATGTTCCGTACGTACTATTGCCATTTAAAGTAAAATTCAGAGAATTAGACGGGAAGTAACGCAACGTCGCCTCTGTGACGAAACTGACGTCATAATCAAATGTGCACAAAACATTAACCGCTCGAATTGTCGAAATTGTGTACCAAAATTGATGATAAAAGCAGACCTGCGACCTGCCTTAAGACCACAACCTGCCTTAAGACCACAAATGCCCTTCTTGTGTTGTCCTCTTTATTGTCTCTCACGTATTGACATCACTGGATTTTCCAGTTCTTCGTTTGGGAAGGTAATCACTGAAGGCGCTCCATTGTTCTCCTAATTGTTCTTTCAAACAATAGCCACTCTGTATACCCAGTTTTACTACAGACGCTATACTACTACTAGGTTATCACAAACTTTTAAAATTCCATGTCATTTCATGTAAATGTATGAATTTATAATTTGTAATTAGAAATGAATAAATGACGTCCTTTTTAAAATTAAAGCGAGCAGATTTAAGGTCAAGGTCTAGTAAGTGAGTTTAGACTGTTTTTGGTGCTAGATTTATTATGACGACATTATCTAATTTCCGTACTTTACTGCTATAACAGAATTATGTAGAAAATGAAGCGTTTTCATAGAATTCTTTTTGAAATCATGCCAAAATTAGCCCCGATACCTTTAATCAGTTTAATATCATTTGAAAAGAAGAGGTCAAGAAGATATGAAAAAACGTTTTCCGAGAGACTGTATGCAATATTAATACATTTCCTTAGTCTGAGATGGAAAAAAAACTACCATATTTATACCCACTTCCTGCATTTTGTCATTGCAAATGGCAGTTTAAAATATGTTTTTCGGATGAGTTTACCTAAAATGTCCCGATACACCTTATTTTACCAAGCTATATTTGTAAAGGAACATTTAATAGAATTCGTTTCTCAAATTTGAGAAAACTAAAGGTTCCTTTTATGTATACATGTAGATCTTAACCTTAATCAAGGAAGCTTTAAACACTGCACACCAAAGAGTTCTATTTGTAGGGTAGTTTTATTGAGTTAGAGTGATCTGCCCTTAGGAGAAAAATAGAATAAATGGGAATCTACAGTTAATGACACAATTTCTTATGAATTGAAGTATTCTTAATGTTATGTTAGACCAAGATTAAGTATTTGAATACATTATTTCCATTAATTTTCCCGATGCAAGTAAACAACCGTGATTTCTGTTCACAAATAGTTCATTGACTTGGAACATTTTTTCTGCAAAAATAAGAAAGGTACCCTATGCTGAATATGAACTAGATATACTGAATATGTACACGTATATATGATATATTTTTCTCAAAGTCCAAAAAGCATTTTTCATTAGTGTTTAGAGCTCCCTTAAGGACAGATGTTACCAGCAAACCTTTCTCAAATATCATAAACATATTAACTACATATTTTGTTTAAATTAGTAAAATGAAAACACGTTTTGTGCATAAATTCCAATTGATCATTAATTGTTTCTAAATAATGTCTATAAAGTGAAAAAAAAAACTGTTTGGATTTATAAGAGTGATGAGAGATAATTAGAATTTTAAACATGCTAGAAAGTTTACATAAGAAATTTGATATTTGCATTATCTACAAACAAAATTGGTCCAACAAATGTTTACCAGACCATGCTTCCAATTGCAATTAATTGTTTGTAGCATGTGCCCTTAAGTGTAACTCTACGTCAACAAACAGTGTACCTTTATCCATTGAGCATGTGGAAATTCCAATAACAAACTTTATGAGCAAGAAATAAGACAAGATATAAATATGTTTTCTTTAATAAAGCGCAGCTTTTCAACATCACTCACAAACTACAATAATAAAAATCCTACATAACTAGCTATTAACTACAAATAACATTACAAGTTAATTCCAAATCAAAAATGTTCACCAAAAATTATTTAAAAGATGACACATAAAGCACATATATTGCAGTAATAAAAAAAATATGTTTACTAGTACCGGAACTTTATAAAGAAGAAAGAAAACCCAAATTGATATGGAACATGACGTTTCAATTTGCACCGAGAGAGACAAATGCCGGTGAAAATAGGCGGCTCATCTTTCTTAAGTATGTACAATCACTGTGCAAAGTTTCAATCAAAATTCAGATTTTCAATCATTTTACGTACAAACACAAGCATCATGTGCATAAACAGAGTCTAAACAGTGCATTTACAGCAATCAAAACTGTCACGTGCGTTATCAGTCCTACATCTGTGGCCACTCCACATTTTTGTATTTTTCTTCGAGAGCTGCTTTTAGTTCCTGTGAGTGAGCTGTATCCCTCGTCTCTACAACACACTTCACCTGCAAAATCATTTTTTAAACTTTGATATACAGTTTGCCAAGTATAAATTTATTATATATATATTTTTGTTTATATATAAAACATGAAACAAATTTTGTGAAAGATCAAAACAAAACTTAATACATTATAAATTTTTACCTCGTCGCTCGGGGTATTGCAGTATTTAGAGCGTCTGCTCTAGAGTCGGGAAGTAAGGAGTTGATCCTTACCTCACGGGTTCGAATCCACTCTGTGTTGTGGACGACCGGTCATTAATCGGATGAGACCGTATAAACTGAGGTCATGTTTCGCACTAGGTGCTGGCACGAAGAAGATCCCTTACTGCTCAAAGGCAGTAAATACCGAGCACATGTCAAAATTTGATGCTCTCCACCGGCAAGTGGTGGCGTCTCCATATGAGTGAAAAATTCTCAAAGGGACGTTAAACAAGCAGACCAAAAACAAAAGAAACATAACATACATTTTTGACTTCTGTGTGAAATTACCCTCGTCCCGTAAAAGTAAAGCTGAGGGCAATATACTTAAGCCTTATCTTAATTACCTGTACTGAAAATACATCTGATTTCAGCCATGCTCTTTCATGAAATATGTCATGGATGCTGCAAATAAATAAGAATATGGGAAATTATATCAAATTTTCCTGATAATAGATGACTTGGGATAACTCAGATATAGATTATATAACTGATTTCAAACACTGTAAAAATTCTGACACTCCCTTGCTTTATATATTATATCTTATTCCATTCACAGTACATAAATGACTTAATGGCAGTTTGTATATTTACCCGACTCCTAGGTCTGACAATAGATTGATTAGATAAGTTATCCCTCCAGGACGGTCTGTCACAGTCACCTTAAATCTAACAAAACGTCCATCAGAAGCCAGCCCACGTTCTATCACACGACCCAGGACTGGAGTGTCAATGTTTCCACCACACAGTACCACGACCACCCTATTTGATGTAATTGAAGTATTCACTTAACCATTGTAAGATATATTCATCTATATATTTAGCTAGTCCAAATTTTGGGCATATACTTTCAAATGATTAATTCTGCATTTGAATACCACTGCATACAAAATATCAATTAAAAAAAATAATACAGTGACTGTAAATCAGCTATAATTCGCGACAACTTTTAATCGCAATACTTCAGCTCGGAATCTATCAACGACGACTAATTTTCTTGACTTAGGTAATATTCTACATAAATACACAATGAAAGAGACAATTGCGAGAAACGATAGAGACACGCAAAATCGCGAAATTCGTAGATGTTTGTCATGCGATATTAAAAACTGGTTTTCAGCAACACTTTTTAAAATTATTTTAATGATCAGACTTTTTATCAGCCAGTTCCGGAAGTAACCCCTCTATAATGGCGGCCAATCCTGCAGCACCTGCTCCTTCAACAATAGCTTTCTCGATCTCAATCAGACGCAGAATTGCTAGATCTATATTCTCCTCCCTAGAAATTAAATTTAATTTACTCTTTTAAAATCTATCTGATATTATTTCTAGTAGTTTTAGTCATTTTAGTTTAAGATTAAAATCTTATATGTATACTTACTTAACTGTAATCATTTTATCAATCAATTCATTGGCTGTTGCAAATGCATTCACTCCAACTGTTGGCACAGCTAAACCTTATAACAATGATCTGGTCAGTGATTTTATAGTGCAAAGCAATTAAGGCTTCTGTTAATTGTATGAAATTGATCATAATAAAATTGATAATTGATAATTTTTTAATGAAATAAGCAACATCACGAACTTCTTACCATCAGCGATAGAGGAGATTACTTCAACTTTTGTTGGTTTTCCTTTCTCTCTTGCTTTTGAGAAACTGGGACATCTCTCCGCTTCGACACCCTAAATAATTGCCAATACTATAATTTGATGTAAATTCTTTCATCTCACATCAGTCACAATTTTTGTGTCAATTTAAATGGAAAACAAATTGCATCCCATCTTGTTCTTATCTATAGTATTATCTATCTTAGTATAATATAGTTTAGTATAGTACAGTATAGTACATTATATACAGTATAGTACAGTAAAGTACAGTATAGTACAGTACAGAACAATACAGTACAGTATAGTACAGTACAGTATAGTACAGAACAGTACAGTATAGTACAGTACAGTATAGTATAGTACTATACAGTATAGTATAGTACTGTACAGTACAGTACAGTATAGTAAAGTTGATTAAATGGCATCCATACAATAATCTGGACGTCTGGTTTGAGGTGCTTCAAAGCCACTGCAGCCCCCGCAATCAGTCCTCCCCCGCCAACAGGTATAACGACCGCCTCCAAATCAGGGACTTGTTTCACGATCTCCAACGCCATTGTTCCCTGTCCGGCTATGATATGAGGATGGTCATAGCTAGTTAAAACAAGAGATGCGTAAGATGTACACAAGCTAGCGAACAATGAAAATTTAATTTAGGATTATTATTTTTATCGATCTTTTACTTATGCATTATTATTATTTTTTTTATTATTATTATTACTATAATTAATTGAAAAATTCAATATTATGAACCATACCCATTTATGTAAACTAATCCCTTTTCCTCACCAAGTTTCTGTGCATACCTTTTTGACTGAGAGAAAACAAAAAATGAAATAAGTGCCAATTTTTTTGGGGATAAAGTGCCAAATTAGTGCGGCAAATCCAAGAACAATTTATATCCTAAAATACAAATTTTTAAATGAAATGAAATCACTGATGTAAATACAATGCTAATTACATGCTAACTCTATTGAAGCGACATTTTTTCCTGGCCTTAAGATCATAAATTGAGAACAAACTTATTTCAAAACTTTGAAAATTAATATCTCTGGTTTTTATTATATACATATATGTTTTTAGATTTCCAGGTTTGGATTATTTCTAAATATAGACACATGATGCAAATCTTGTTAGATTATCAGGATTATTTCAAAAGAAACATTAGTTTGAAATTTTGGCTTAAGTCTGTTCTCCTCTTATGGTCTTAGGACCTGTGTCCGCTTTTTTTATCTAGTATGTTTTTCCTTTCTTTTTCTTGAACCAATCAGCAGAAAACATCACTGAAAGCTACTTTAAATTACATTTTTATTTGTAATAAGATAGGGGAATACCAAATCATGAAACACCATCTATATTGCTTTGTGTTGTTTAAAATCCTGATTAATAACAGGTACATCCTAGTTAGTTAAACTGGATGAAGAAGTCTTATAAATGTAAGTATGTACATGTATTTGATGCATACATTTCCAGTGTTATTTTATTGTAAATAGTACATACAGGTTAAGAATTAAAATCACTATGACTTTAAGTAATAATCAATGACCCTAAAATTTATCCAAACAAAACGCCTTTAGCTAAGAGTAAACAAGAATTGAACGAAGAATCGTAATACTTTCATTTATCGAGATGTTAAAAAAGAAAATGAGTAGAGAACTTCTTTCCTGCAGGTTGGTTTGATAGTTTGAAATTTAAAACAAAACAGAAATTCATCTTATAACTTTCTAGATCAAATATATAACATCGGACAAAGTACATCTAGAGTTTGCATATATTGATGGTGATGGAACGTTTTTGTACGAACACTGGTGCCCATTTTTATAATCGACATTATTTTGCTCACTCCTCCATGGCACCTGGTCCCACCTCTGAGATTTAGTCCGTGTTTGTTCTGTCCTAGTTTGAATTGGCTTATGAGCTTGAATACTGTTCGTTATCTCCATATTTCAGATACAGTAATGAACGTGGATCATTTTTCGTCGTCGAAAAATAACACCTGGACTTTTTTTTTCATCGGTCTTTCTAACATCTAATAATATGTACATTAAAGGATGATTAATAAACCAGTTATAAATGTTGTTTCCTTATCAATCTTATTCAGTTCAATGAATTATTCATCCTCAGATTTTGGATTTGAAGAACACAATCAACTATAGTTTAAGGACTTTATTGGCAAGTATAAATGAAGTCTTGTAAAGAAGCAAAGCAAAGCAAAGGAAGTTCTCCATATACAGTTTATGATACTTTAGATCTACATTCTCATGACGTCTATAAAATGTGTAAAATGATAAATGTGAAGTGCCGGAAAAAATATAATAGCATATATTCAAAACAAAACTGACAACCAAATTTCATTTTATTTCGTAGGACTGCATTCAGTCAGAAACTCTTAAGAGTTGCTTTAAATTATACTTCAAACACTCCCATGCTAGGAAGCACTTCTTGTAATCTCTAAAAGTCAATTCAACAAATAAATATCTGATGAAGTATAAAAAAGTATGGAAGTAATAACATCAATTAATCATGATATATAACCATTTCTAAACTTTTTCATTTTTAATTTTCCTTTGTAACATCAATAAGGAATTATTATTTGCAAATGACAGCAACAACAACATAATAAGATCCTATCCTTCCGGATAGTGACATAGATTGCCACCGTTTCCTCACAACTTTCAGATTCTATTAAGTGTTAACTGACCTCTGAAATATCATGGCCTTCAATTCTGACCGTAGCTTTGTAACGTTTGCATGCTTGTACTTTCATCATTGGTGCGATGGTTGGCATGATCACGGTCACTGGGATGTTCAAACAATAGCCATGGTAGGCCAGAGCCAAGGCATGGTTACCGGCACTGGCCGCTATAACTCCTTTCTTCTGCTGCTCCTGTGGTATATAGTAAAACAGAGTTAGAGCAAATAGGCCTATAATGAGATTACAGCAAACAAGAGATGTACATTCCCTCTTAGTTTTAAATCCTTTTGGAAACTAAACCGATAAAATTTTTATACATGTAACGAATCCTTTGCACATCATGATTTACTGCAAATAAGTTTGTCCAAAAAAACAATTAACAAATAAAAAATGAATAACTAAAAAAAAGAGAACAAAACATTTACTTGTAGAAAATTGAAAATAAAAATGTTTAACAATATTTGCAGTAATTTAATTTAACATTTATGTATTATACTGCAGTCCATTTTAAGAGTTTTTATTTATAAAACACAAATGAATATAAATTAATATGTCATTTGCACTTCATAGATCGTGCAAAGGGAAACTATCTTTATCTAAACATTGCATAGATATGCAAGAAAATGTTGCTTTACTTCAGTTAGCTTCATAAGAGAATATCTTGCTCCTCTTTCTTTGAAACTAAAACAGAAAAAAAATGATCTGAATATTGAAATAAATTATCAGAACATCCTTAAAGAAAATTCTCGTATTCATAATAAAGTCTGAAATTGCAATGTGAGTATCAAAATATAAGTGTACAGTGCAAGTGCACTAAAAACAGAGTTTACCTCCCTGTACGCTGTTGAAATTCCTTCTTGAAGTAAACTTCTTTCAAATTCAGTATTTCAGACATTCTAGATTTCTAAAAAATATATATAAAAAAATTGGTTATATGCCAAAGTATTAGATGATTAAGATATTATACTTCCTTCAGAAGTAGAAGATAAATATCCTTTGAAGCATTTTTCTTAATTTTCAGACCTGAAAGCAATAATATATCGAAAGAATGCACAATAGATAAAAAATATACATATTTGAAATAGAATACGAACCATAAATATGCAAACAAAATATTGCCACACACACACACAGAGAGAGAGAGAGAGAGAGAGAGAGAGAGAGAGAGAGAGAGAGAGAGAGAGAGAGAGAAATCAATGAAACAGTAGAGCTTTGTTAATCCAGACACCTCATCTTTGGGAAACGGAAGATTTGTTTTCCATTTATAGAAAAGAAAGAAATGTGTTTGGGTGAACGAAGCTCGACTGTATATAGAATAGGATAGGTATGTCTTACAACACAAGGGCTCAGGAGGTCATCTTTAATTATAGCTGAAGCTGCCTCGACTTCCTTGAACGTTACTTTTTTGGGGTTGTCTGGGTCACAGAAAGGGTCTAAAATTTCCTGATCCATCGTTTGATATTTTACCCTTTGAATCACTCCAAGCTTTCTACTCTGATTTCTAAAAATTAAAGAAAAATTAAAGTTAAAAAAAAATTAAAATTAAAGAACGCAGGTAGGTTAAGGCTTTCCATAGAATATCAGAGTGCACTCTGTGCCTTCACTTCTCGGAACTACCAAAATATGACGTCATATGGAAAATGACGTCAAGTCACTTCCAACTTGAGTTGTTATGACGGGGAGAGTGTCATGAACTTTACACTTTATTTCAAACTGCATGTAAAATGCTAGATAGCTATTGCAAAATCTACTGGTCGTTAAAGGTTTTTTAAGTCTTATATGTCAGAATATTTTAAAAATACATCGTTTACGTAACCTTGGTTGAAATTCAGCATGTGCAAAATGCTTACGAAAAATATACTTTTGAAATGTACTCTGTTTTATACCCGTGGTTGGAGGTAGAATTTATTTTGTATGTATAAATGAGTCTGGCGCATGTGAATAATGAAGATTAATCTGAGTTTTCTTGGGGAAATCTGTAAGAAGAGGTTGTTCTTTAACCGAATCTTGCTTGGGAAAAATGTGTGATGGCTTTGTTTTAATACAGATTACGATATTGTGTGGAATATACCCACAAATTTGTAGGTAAGTTGAATTTCTCACGAAATATTTTGTACCCAAGTAAAACGATGACTTTTCCCAAGCACATTTCGGATACAAAGGATACGATGAGTATATTTATGATACAAAATGTTAATAATTATTGTCTTAATCAGCTGCGCCGAAGCGATTTATGTGAAACACTTCTAAAAATTGTAAATGACCGTCAAGTGATCAACAAAGTCATAAGATGTCATAACAAATATGTTTATATATAGCCGAGGGAACCCTCTATATAAATTGAAACTACTAAAGTACAGTAATTATAAATTAAAACCAAAACCGACCTCGCAATGCAATATTATGCTTTGAGCGCATTTGAAAGCTTCGGGAAGCCTTAACATGCTGCGAAAATAGTACTTTTGAGGAGGAAATATTACTATGGGTGTAAAATTTCGTTGCTTTTTATATGTTCAAATTTGCCGCTCAATAATCCAACCATAGTATCGGAAGTTACGGAAGTGATGGGAAGCGAGGGGAGGTAAAAACTGATGCATAGGCTCGCAGCCCTGTTATTTGTTTGTTTACATGTGGTAAGATCGAATTATTGTTTGAAGTTAAAAGGTACATTAAATTTTATTAAATCTGGAATTTTCCATGAATCCCGAGGACTGGAAATGAGAGGATTGTATGGATACAGAGGATTCGGAACCCGATGATTCAGCTGGTTGTCAGGGGTGTGTGTCCCCATACCAAACCAGGTTATAGAGAAATAATTTGTGTTCCTTTTTGGATATTAACCAATCAGAGGCTAGAATACAAACAAAATTAAATTATTAGGAATTATCTATATTGTTGTAATATAGAAATTTAACGTATAGAAATTTTGAAAACTTTACTAACTCCAGTGTGAGAGTTATTACGCTTGTATCATCCTCTGATATGAGTGTTGCTTTTCTAAGAGAGATAGATTCTTAGAAACAAGAACAATTTATTCAAACGTTCAATAAAAATGGCACCGGAAATAAAATGTTTTCTCAGCCATTTAGACAGCGTGGCTTTTTAATTTCTTGTAAGATGCCATAAAGTATACATAAACATTAACTTCTATTCTATTCTTTCTAAGCGGAAAGATGGAGCATATAATTTGCTTATGATTCTTTTTTTCTATTCATTAGCAATGTCTAAATGATTAAATATTTTGTTGTCTTTTCAAGTTTTTCATGAATAAGTGGTTATATTTAAGCCGCCCTTCAGTCAGAAATTATTAAAATATACTTTTCAACGGATTATGATAGTTTACAGCAAATTATTTATAGTAATATATGAAGTTTGATTCAAATATCCATATTAATTACTGAGATATAGGCAATCAATGATTAAGAAAATATATGCATAACGTTATAAAAATTACAAAAATGACGTTCAAAATGACGCCAGTTGCTCTGAAAAACAGATACAATTTCTCAAGACACAAAGGTTGCAGGTTTGTAAATGTTTTAAAATCGCCCGAAAACATAAAACATGCACGAAATATATATCCCCTGGTTTTATTGCATATTCCCTGAAATATGTCATAATTCCCTGCAAATAAATCTACTTATAAAACATCCTTCTTGTCTCAATCAACCTTTTTTCAATATTATTGAATTTAAAAAAAAAAGTATTTTAACTTGATTTAGGCAAGACAGGATGAAAATATGTCGATAGTTTTGAAATGGCGAAGATCGAGAAAATGTTCTATTGGTAATTGAACACAGAGATTGTTTTGGATGAGCCAAATACCAAAAAGAAATGTTGTTTCAAGATAAAATTTTCAATATTATTCTATTAAATTACATAGAGAAATATTTTGACTCGGTTTCAGGCAAAACAGGATGAAAAAGTGTCAATATTTTTAACATGGCGCAGAAAAATATGTTCTTTTGGTAATTTAACATGCATACCACTTTGAATAAGACTTTTAAAAAGTCATTATTTTTCGCCAATTACACGCAGATAATACTACTGTATTTTAAGATATCACTTCTTGTATAAAGTCATTATCATAGCATTATTTGCATAGCGTTTGACATGAAAATATCAGTCTGATAGAAACAATGCATCATAAAAGCTAAACCAAACAAAAAATAACAATAAAAAGACAAGAAAGCTATATCTTAAACTCAGAAAAAATACTTAATGGAATAGGTGAAGTTAATGAACATCGTACAATAAAAAAACAAACTATAAAAATACAAATTATTGATCAATAGAGTACAATACGCGGACACCTAGAGCTTCCAGAAATAAGATCAGGTGCTGAGTAGGTGTAAACATTCCCTGTCGAACGCTTACACCGCCGTGAGCCCTTTGTATTGATCAGGTACACGGATTAATCTGTAGCCAAATTCAGTATATAACAAAGACCTAACAATTGGTATATGATACATCAGTCAAAATACGACTCAACGATAGGTTGTATTAGCAAACAAGTCATTATAACGACCATAGAATTTACGAAATGCTGACTTTAAACGAGGTTGTTGAAATCCCTGACATCAACTTATTTGTCAGTAGCTGTCTCTGTTTAAAAACTGACCAGAGCATGCTTTTGAGTATAAAGTAAGTTTGGAGACACAAACACCATGTGCAGGTAACAACGGGATATTATTACACAAACAAAAAAAATTGACGATGGAAAAGCTTAAGCCATCTCGTTTGTCATACAGTTCAGTTGTTACATGTAGTTGGTCCTTTTAGTCTAAATCCAATCGGATCCAGAAAATTTTCTTGATTGGAGAGAGGGGAATCCATATACAATAAAACAACCCCGATCAAATTTTGACATATTGAAGGATACAGCAAAAGTATATGCAGATCTAGAACTGGGGGAGGTGGTGGATGAGAGTTGTAACGGCACTTTTTAACGCTCTATGTATATTGTTCATTGGAAAAAATCTTACCTTTATCGCAAATTTTATCATCAACCCGTTCTTTTTGACACCGGCGACAATTTGTGAAACCCTCTTTCCCCCTCCAGAATAGGTGGTGATGTATCTTACACTATTGTTATTAATGCACAAATTGTCGGTGGCAATGATATTTTCAATTATCTTTTACGCATATTAGTACTTAAATATTCTTTTAAAATGTTTTGGAGAGAGAGAGAGAGAGAGAGAGAGAGAGAGAAAGCTTTGTGGGATATACCGCATCAACATATGGATAAAAATGGATATTTCTTTATTTATTTATTGATAAGCCATCGTAGATATATCTTAATGTAGAATGGAGTGCCAGAGCTAGAAACTTTATTATTTCAAAAAGATTGTTGGTAGACCTGTCATCCAAAGACTACATAAATACTGCCACTGAATAACTCATAAAACATCAATATCAACCTCAGATACCGTCAAGGTAGCTCAGTCGGTAGAGCGCTCGCTCCGTGATCGGAAGGTCGTGATTTCGAATCTCGGACTCGACTTACCTAAGGTAGCAGCTGTTCCTTCGCCAAGCGCTCTACACTTTGAAGTGAATGTTGCAGGTCCTTCGGATGAGACCTTAAAAACCGAGGCCCCGTGTCACAGCAGACGTTGGCACGATAAAAAACCCCCTAACTGCTGAATGGCCCTGAGTGCCGAGCAAAGGTCTAAAATTAGCCTTATCAATTTTACTCGGACAGATAAGTCGAATATTCGAATGACTTAGTTAAACGATAGTCAAGTACTCAAATAAGACAATTTTTATCAATGTCAATTTTTTTTTCAACATGTACAATATTTACTCTACGCTACCATCATAAACTTAGTATTTTCGAATTAAAATTTTATTATTTGAACTTAATTTATTTCATTTAAAAAATTCATTGTTTTACTGCATATGTTATCTAAATAAGCTTTTCAAATAGTTTCTCTTGTCCTCTTTAATTACTCGAGGCTACGCATGTATGTTAAGGCAGCAATCAGATCATTATAAGGGAAATTCACACTTTTTGTAAAATGTAACACAAATAGACCAGAAAAGCCACAAATACAACATAACGTTTAATTATCCATTGAATCGAGTCTTATGCTAAAAGAAGTACTCAACTACGACGTCATCAATCGCCCGCATGGTGCAGCGGTTAGAGCGTCTGCTCTAGAGTTGCGAAGTAAGAAATTGATCCTTACGTCTCCCTCTTTATAATAAGAAAAATAATAATAATAATATATCAGCATACCTTATTCTTAAATTTAAGTCCTTGTGAATCACATGTGATACTTAATTTATATGCTTTTTAACTCCCATTTCATATATGTGTTTACATGCATTCTCGTTCCGTTTCATTTTTGACGTCATGAGTTAAGTATTTAATCCTCGAGACAAATACTTATTTACACCATCCAAAAATGCCACGTCTTAGTTTATGAAATGAATCTCTCAATATAAGTAGTAATAAATCCTAATCTCTAAAGTTTTCATCGTA